CGTGGCGGTGGTGGGGCACTGAGGCGCGTCTCCATCAGGAGGAGCAGTCGGGTTGCTGGTAGAACCCTGGCGTGGGCCCAAGACCTGACTGAAGTGCTCCTTGATGCGGTAGATGGAGGCAAGAAGCTCACCAGACCAACCATAGGGGTCGGTGACGCCCTTCGTGGCCGCCAACGCCTTGGGGAGCTCACCTTTGGTGAAGGACACGGTTGGGGAGCTCGCAGCCGTGGCTGGTGCCAGTGTAGACGTGGAGGCGGGTGTCGAAGCAATGTACGGGGTCAGCCCGGGCGGTACCAAGAGGTCGCGCACGGCCTGAACCTCAGAATTACCAATCACGGCACGAGCCTTGTCGGCATCAAATGCTTTGGCAATCTGACCTCGGTTCAGACGGTTCGTGACGTGGTTTGCCCAGGCTTCGTCCGCCAGGTCCGGGTCGCGGACGAGCGACCTGAGGCTCTGGTCGACTGCGTCGTTCGGGTGGGCGCCCGCGCCGGCGTTCAGCTGTCCTCGACGGCTCTGCTTGCGTGCGACTGCCTTGCGCATGGCGTCCACGACCCGACCTAGTTGCCCCGTCACAAGCCAACGGAGACGATCGTGAAACATATTGCGCAGGTCAATCGTAGACAGTGCGGTCGAGGGAGCAGACAACAACATGCTAGGCAAGGCCAAAATCAAAGCCCAGCACATCTCTCGCTCTTCAGCGGTATAGTCTGAATGGACGGCAGACCAATACAGCTGGCTCAGGGTGGCAGCCATCAGCTTGGTCTCGGTGGCGTTGGATGGGTAGCGGCTGCGCTGCATCAGTGGATGCCGGGCGAGCTTGAGCAGCTCGCAGACGCTGATGCGCGACCCTACACACTGTTGGGGCCAAGCGCCACGCATAATCTCAAGCAGGTCGTGTCCAGCCGCATGAAACAACGCCTCGGTCGCTCGCTTCAGATTGGCACCACATCGGGAGCGGTGTTGACTGATACCAGCAGCTTCGAAGAAGAGGTGACACTTGTTGCACTGGGCGACCAATTTGGCCTCCATCACCTGCTTGACCAGATCAGTGGCTTGCTCGTCGTAGGGGTGCTCGCGTAGTACATGATTGACCCAGGCTTTGCGGTCAAGGCGGGGCCCCTTGCATTTGCAAAGCCCAAATGGGCAGGCGAGGAGTTGCCTGTGGCCAGATGTCTTCAGCAGGACCTTGCGCTGGGCATCCAGCACGTTGGCAGCGATGGGCGGAGCAGGATCGCTGAGAAGAACATCTTGCTCACCCTCACTGTGTTCGCCCGCTGCATCGTGTGTTTCACTCTCACTGACTTCGCCAAGTGGGGCTGAGTTTGCATGCTCACTGTGTTCGACAGGATGTGAAATGGCAGCGGGCAAAATGGCAGTGGCAGGGGGTGAAGCCGAGGGCGGAGAGGGATCGGAATGGGTTTGCTGTGTATCCGATGGATCTGGCAGCACCATTTGAGCGGGTGTAGGTGATTGCACCAATGGCTCAGGCGTGGCACTGCCGTTTGTGTCACCGTCACCATCATGCGCGGGAGGGGCGATAGGGGTGGGCGCGCGGAGTGCGGTGGAGCGAGGAGGGGAGTCGCTTTCGTCCGAAGACATGGTCAAAAAATCCGATGGTGTGTTAGGAATCGAATGATGTGTCTGTCTCGCGGACTCGGG